ATCAGCCGCCTCAAATCCATGCCAGAAAAGGTCAGCCAGTATGTAGGTTGTAAACAGAAGCCTGCACGCGGCTTAGACAGAATAATTCATAACTTGGTCAATGACCGAGCTAAACCTATTAGCGGATCACCAGGCCACTCCTCGCACTGAGGACTCTACACTGATTGTCATTAATTGTATATTTAAGTTCATAAATTATCCCTAAGTTTTAATAACAATATGGTAATGCAGATGGTGCTTAAGTTTCATTGTTTGATTGCAGCGGCTGTAGCGGGAGGGAAAGAGGGCGCGTTGATGCGGAGCAGCGGTTCACTACATTATTCAACACAGGGACTCATTATAAATCAGTTGAATCAGGGTTATCATTTCATATTCTGTATATATCTGACTTCCTAATGAATGTTATTTCCTCTATCAAGACTTGATATTGAAGCATATTGTGCTACGAAGGTTTTTCCTGCGAGGACTTTGTTTCTTTTACTCTCCCACGTGCAGCTGCTGAAAGCTGGTGTGTGACATATTTCTGAATGGAGCACTGGTATGTCACATGTTAATGTGTCACCCAACAATACATAAATGGACTTATCACCAAGGAGCACCAATTGTCCAGCAGTGGTGGAAAGTAACTAAGTGCAATTACTCTCAAGTTTCTTTATACTTCTACTAACTCTACTACATTTCAGAGAGAAATTATGTACTTTTTACTCTACAACTATATGATATAAAATACAATACACTGTAAAAATATAAATACTCAACCTTTTTGGCATGTGACTCCTCACAAAAAGCAGTGTTTAAATGTCTGTGAGTTCCACCAGAGAGGGAATTCCGCTCTCTTCTGAGATGGTATCATTTAAATAACTGTATTAGGCCCACAGATGTTAAATGATCAGTTACAGTTAATCACATAAAAGCCAAGATTCAACTCCAAACACTGAAGAGAAATTGTGTATCACAACTTTTTGCATTCTTTCCTCTCCCATCAATCATCTAATAACCCCCCAGATTTCTCTTTTGGTCCACTGGAGGGGGTAGAGACGAAACGGTATGAAAATTTTACATGACGATTATAGTGAGCAAAATTATCAATGTTATCAGAATAATCGCAGTCTTGTTAAAATGGGCTGAAATGTTTATTGTAGCAACTCGGTGCACTTTTTGTTTGCATAAACATTAAAATAATAACAGCCAATATCTTATGTAAACATATGAAAACCACATTACATGTACATTAAAAGGTTACAAAGTACGACCCCATGCACAATTGACATGAATACAGAGGAATCTTGTGTTGGAGGGTTTCTCCTGTTCGAACACTTTTACAACTAATTCGTTTGAAATTCGTAAAATTCGTAAAATATGTTTGTTGGGTGACTCAACTACGTAACATGTTATCATGTGTGAATAGAGTCTGCATACACACGACGCATACAGCCGCAGAACTACTGGTAGTATTCTTACAAGAGTAGGCAACACTAAGCGCTTAACTTTACAAGTTGCAAGTCAGACAGGAAACCCATGACATGTTTCCTCATTCTGAAGTCTCCACATCAATGATAAATGAATAAATGTCCATTTCCACGGCATTAAAAGTCTTGCAGCCTTCCCTCCTAGTTCTGCTTTTCATGTGAAAATATATAAATAAATATGTGAATATATTATACTGAATATGTGAGGTGTTGTAGTAGGCTACAGTTAATTTCAGCCCCTTAATGTTTTGTTTTTTAACTTACCCTGTATTATTAGCACCCAACCTTAATTTTTTACACGGCCGTTATTGATATCATTCACGACAATTTATGCTAATAATATATCACAGGCCATTATTCTATGCTGCACTAAGTATTTTTGCTTTTGATACTTTAGGTAAATTTTGCTGATAATAGTTCTGTAGTTGTTTTTTAAGTTGAATTGTGAATTTAAAATTTTTACACTGAGTATTTTTATATTATTGTATTGGTACTTCTGCCACCAACTGCCATCCAGTGAGCCATGAGGGAAAACATTCTGTTGCTCTAGGAGAAAAAGGATGAAATAAAAAACAGAAAGACCAAATGAACATTCAACCCTATAGAAGGAATGCAGTCACATACACTCACTTCATGTGCACAATCACACTGTACAGTACAATCTACTCTTGCGGGCTTGCCCACAGGAGTTGCATGTCCTTCTCTTGATGCACTCACCCGAAACACATGGAAAATAAAACCCATTTTGACTGAAGCTGAAGTTTATTGTAAACCAGTCAACCGGTATTTTCAGAAATGCAGGTGCACGCATGCACTCAAATTCACCTCGGCTTCCCACACACACTCAAACAAACATGCAGAAGTCCCACATGTATGCCCGTGTCTTTGTTCTGTTCTTGTCCCTCTAGATGGCGGTCTATATGGGCCGCCGGGAAAAGGCCTCCGTGCTCCTAAATATTGTTTTTCACCACATTACTGTCAAAGTATCCACCGGTGACTGATGATGGATTACATCTCAGCTAGGGCTCTGGGTTTTCCCTCAGCCTGTGACTTACAGCAACTCCGAGCCCTCAACGCTCTCGCTGCTACACTAACCATGGCGAGCACTGCTCAGGGAATATCACACAGGACCTTTTCGCTCCTTTCTCCACATGTTCACTGGGCAGCTGTTTCACAGGAGATGCAGGGAGGAGGAGGGGATGAGGCATGTGCCCTTGTTTAAAGGATGTTTTGGTTATTTGGTTATATAAGATATTTTTTAAAATATTTTTTTCATTTGCTGCAGACCCAAACCCTGTCTTCATTTGTCTTTCTGTGTCAATGGAAATGCACTTAGTGCAATTTGGTCTAGTGCCACTCAGGGGGCTGTGGAGCTGGGCTGTGATTCACTGCCGCACACAAACCTACAATTTTAATGTGATAAGTAGAGATTCAGACCCGTCTTTTGGAGTCAGAGATAAGCCATCGGGTTTGGGTAAAAGCCCAGGCAAGGCTCATTTGAAGGAGGAACAGATTGCTATTTCATTTAGCGGGGATGAAAGCCATTACTCTCTCCACCTTGTGAACAGCATCAGGTGAAGTAGGCACCTCTGTAGTTTTTCTTATTGGTCCAACCCTATTGAAAGATTTGTGTTTACTTTTTCTGTCACCCCATGTGTTTTTATTTTTATTTTTTATTTTTTACATTTCAGCCAGTCATTATCCGATTTAATGGTGTGTCATTAATCATAGTAGCTGCTGTGTGAATTCCAGGTTTTTGTACGTGTTTTGTGATAATTAGCATAGAAGCCAAGAAAGTACAATCCCACTTTGGAGTGTTATTTTGCATACAGTTTGATGTTTACAGCCCATGTTTCCCAGTGCGCCTCTCTGGCCTGGAGGACCTGCCCTGCTCTACAGGCTGGGCTGAGGTTAACTTAATTATATGCAACAGAAAAAGAAAAATGAATTTCTCTAAAAACACAGCAAAATGTTCTGGGAAAAAAAGTATTTATTAGATTCTTTCAAAAGATTTAGCCTGTGAGATTTTAGGTCTTCAACATCTTCAACATCTTTTAAAAAATGGCTGATTAAGGCTGTAGATAATGACATTAATAGTGTTATCAAATAATATGCTGTAAATTTTAATAAACTGTTCATTTAATTGCATATCCTATCAAGCTTGGAATGCTCAGTAATTAGATTATATTACCGTGTGTGAATAATGTAGAAGATTATGTTGCAGATTACAGTTTCAATCAGGTAATCAGCGATCTGTAACATATTACATTTTAAAAAGTAACATCCCCAGCCCTGGCTATAGCTACCCGCCTCTCCTTTACTCTGTCAGAAATTATGCAAATTTCAGGCAATTAAGGGTCTCAGTGTCATTCTGTCTCTTCTCCTCAGCATTCGCGGTTGTTTTTCAAGCCTCGCCGTGGCTTTTGTCAAGCATCTGTATGAGCATGTCAAGAGCAAAGATGCTTAAGATGGGGAAATTATTCATAAGCATTTGAGTATGTGCACACTCGAGCACTTGCACACATTCTGCCCTCACAAAACATTTGGCCACAATGCACATACTCCAGCACACATTTAACATAGAAAATGAAATATAAAATCACACATATCATATGTTGCAGAGGAAGGGTCTGTGTTGCATCGAAGTCCTGTACAGCCCCTCACGTCACTTTGAGACGACTGGCTTAATAATTCACCACCAGGTCGTCTGTGTGGGAAGAGGTGAAGCCTGTCAGATACTCAAATAAGTTATTAATTTTCCATTTTGAAAGCTTGAGGGGCACTTCATCATCCTGTTACCAATTTTCTGTGAAGCGTGACTGATTTCGTTCAGAACATTGTTCTAGTTTTTTCTGCAAAATTGATCTTCCTGCAGCCATTGTCGCTCTCCCACAATTGTTTTCACCCGTCATTTTTCATTTGTTGCTGAGGTGTATTGAATTTGCAGTGCTGATTGTTTAAAGTTTACTTACGATATGCTTAAATCTCCCCTTTTTCTCCCTGCCCACTGCTCTCATTCCTGTCACAATATTAGACTGTCCTCTAAAATGTTTCTCTTCCTTTAAGTGTCTGTGCATGATTTAAATATTTGTTGGTTGTCATTCAAAAAGTTGTTTTCTTTTCCAGTTATGTCCTTTTTAGGTCTTCGCTGAGCTTCGAGCGCATTCCTCAGAGCAATTTTCCATTTCTTTTCACACTTTCATAACATGTCCTTATTAAGTTGTTTAATATATTTCTTTATTCATCTCATACCTAACCATTCTGGACTTGGTATTCTGACTGTCTTTTCTGCCTTCCAGATATTTTTTCTCTGTAAATATCTCTGGAGGTCAGAGACAACCTAGTCTGACTGAGAGGGTCCTTGCCTGAATAGCGTATGTCTTGTATAGACAGACTCTTTTTCTCTTCTTTGCAAAGAGCCTGAACTTTTTTCATGTTCTTTAATATTTTCATTGCACTAACATCCTTACATGTTTCTTTCCTTTTCAGTTATCAGCTAAAGTCATCTGAGCCTTTCTGTCTCCCCCACAGACCCTCCCACTGTGGAGCCGGTTTACATGGAGATGCGTCAGGGCCTGGGGAGGCCTGTGGTGATGACCTGCAGGGTGCTGCGAGCCCACCCTTCCCGTGTGCTGCGATTCGAGTGGCTTCTATCAAACAGACTGCTCCACGCCGGAGCATTCGATGCCCAAAGAGACGAAACAGAGTACACTATCCGCAGTCTGAATCGAGACGGCTGGGGGGAGTACACCTGTAATGTTATCAACGAGGCCGGAGCAGGCAAATGCACCTTCCAGGTTACAGGTAAAGAGTGCTTTTCATTAAAGGGATAGTTTGGGTTTTTGAAGTGGGGCTGTACAAGGTACTTATCCATAGTTGTACTCAGTGTATTACCTGCAGTAGATGGCGTTTGATGCATTTAGAGAAGGAGAGAGCTGTACCGTCACAGACGCTTAGCAAAGGACCACTGAAAAAAATCAAAAAGTTCATGTGTAGGCTATATTTAGAATATTTTCAGTGCTTTACCTTGCTGTCAGACAGCCTTTTCCTTTGGAACTGTATTTTGTCAAACGTAGAATTTCCGTATTTCTACGCATAAGCACAACTTATGCGTTTGTAAGTCTGTATGTAAGTACCTTATACAGCCCTGAACCGGAACAATACCTTTAAAGATTTGTCTTTTTTTAAAGGGGCTATATGTAGTTTTTCAAAGAAATCACTTTCTTTTTGTCAATGGGCTGTAACCTCACTTAGAAATGAGCCACACACCTGTTGCTTGCAACAGCCACTATTCTGCTTGTTTTATAAAAGGTTCGGGTCGGGATGTAGCCCTGTCCGTACTCCCGAGCCTTTCTCCGACTACAGGAAAAACACCACAAAACAAGAGGCTCCCAGCATAACACAAACTACACATAAGGATAAAAACAGCACTGTGCTGAAGCCCCTAAGGCCAAACTGAATCCGAAGATGTCGGGTAGACACATTCAACATCAGAAAGACTGATTGTTAGCTCGCCGGCTAATGTTGACCAGTTGCTAAGGTTATCCGGTGCAAAATACTATAGTTGTAACGTTGTGACTTTCCACATTACTTCACCAGCTAACGCGACCCAAATTACTATTCTGTGTACCCCCTGAGCCGGAAAGGGGGTTTGATATGATCTGCCTCTGAGCCGGGAACGTTGGTTGTAAGCTAGAGGAACCTGTCTTTGTGAAAAGCCACAGCTGCATGCCAGTGTTTCTGTGTTTATTGTGGGATCTGTTAAGGAAAAGGTTGTGTTACGGATTGTGCTCGCTGATGAATTCGGTTGCTTGATCTTAAAACCACACCGAACTTCCACTTGCGGTTTGGGGTTTGGGAAAGACTCAATAAAGACACCACCCCCAAACTCATTAAATGAAAAGTGCAGCTCCTCTCCTACTATAGCCCCATGTACACCTAACATATAGGGAAATCCAAAGTTTTACAGACATGTCTGCTTAGTTAATTCGTAAGCTATCATTAAACTGTTGATGTTCAATTAGCCTATTTGAAGTTAACATACACATACCATATTTCACTTTCATGCATACCTTAGTGGTATAAAATGGACTGTCAGTGTGTTCCATCCACCCTGAAGCTGCATTTGATGGCAGGTATTTGGCTGCCAAGCATCTGAAAGTCTACAACAACTTCTTCAGTATGCACTCCAGTTGGTAATTAGTTTTTGCTGTGATTTTTTTGGTTGAAATTGGTTCCTCTAACATATAACAGTCCTTGTCAAACTGTTTTATAGAGGCAAGGATGTATCTGGGTGTGATAGACAATTAATTTTGAAGAATAGCGAAAGAGAAAATTTCATGTATCTTCAGTCTGAATGGAAGGCGTCAATCATGCCGGCTCTTTCTCTGTCTCACGTAGTAGACCTGTTCTTTTAGATAATACACACTCATCCCCTTCCTGCTACTTCCTGTTTTTGTTTTTTTTCATCAAGAGCTGCAAGTGTCCATCTCCTTGTTGGTTGTTATGACAGGACCAAATTAGCTTGGCTATGGTGAGTGACCGTAGGAACTCTGGCCAAGGTTTCAATCTCCCAGACCTCCCATTAGAGACAGGAGCTGCAGGGTCACAGGAGGAGTATTTGTCACTTTGATCCTCTGCCACTTAGGTTGCTACCCTCTTTGATACTGTGTATTTCTCTCCATCTATTGCTGTCTTCTAATCGTACATTTCTGCACTTGCGTTTTCTCCTCTCTTTGCTCTTTCTTTATCTCTTTGTCCATGTTTTCTTTTCCTCATTCTTCAACTTTCTTATTTTAAACGTCTCTCTTTTGGCTCTCCCCCCCCCCCTCACCCACCAGTGTGGGTCATAAATCCATTGTCCCCTATGAGACAGGTAGAGCAGAGACACAGAAGCAGATAGTCCCCTCCAGCCATTTGTTTTTTCAACAGGGCTGGGGTTTTGCCTGATATTGCTCACTCTTCCTATCTCCACTCCCCTTCTATCCCTTTCATCCTCCATCCCTCCATTCTTCCTGCACTTTCTCTTCCACCATCACTCAGTTCCCGCTCAATGCTCCAGATTCCCACCATCTGGACTCAGTGGTTGCCAAAGGTATGGAGGCTCTTTTACTCACCTCCTGAGCGCAGGAGCATGGTGCAGAAAATCCACTTTGGTTCCTCCCATCATCCATGAAATCTGGCGTGCCAGCTTATTCTTTAACTTTTTTTTTTATAATTTTTTAATTTTATCCTGAATCTCAATAGCTACCACATGATATTAACATTATTCTGTGGTTATTGTGTGGTGAAATAAATAATCTACTAGAGAGTAAGTGGATATCAGCTCCACTTCAAGATGAAGCTCATGAAATATTTGTTATTGCTCATACAGTTAGGTGGTATCTTGGTTTGCTCATTCTACAGAGTGAAGACAGGTAGACACCTCAGTGGATGTTCCCTCACCGCACTCTCCCTGAGTTCCTCTTGGGCTGTGTTGTAGAGTTTTGGCCCGAAGCCCCAGTGGCTCAATTAAACTCACAGATCCAGTCAGCATAATATGCAAAACATACATGTTACCATGCCGACAGACACATGAACACTCATAAAAGTCTGGCATCAGCCCATTTTTTGGCTTATATAAGCATTGTCGCATCAGAAAGTGTATTGTGCCAGGGGAGTGTGTGTGTGTGCATGTGCATGGATGCCCATGTGCCAAGCCATTGGGGCATCTGTGGAAACAGTGAGTTGGCTGTAATGGCCAAGTTGGCCATTAAGTTGTGCCAGGGGAGGGACCCCTCAGAGGGATGTAATGTGTACCACTGAGCTTTGGCTCAGGCTCTCTGTCATGGGAACCCTGAGTTTTTAGCAAATGCTGAAATCATGCCCCTCTGAAAGTTAGAGTTGGGAAGAAAATAGAAAAAAACATAGTCTTTGAGTCTTCATCCTGCTTTTCTTCTGTGATTTCATTCCAGTCTGATGCAGTTTGTGATTTATGCATTGGTCTGCATTTATTCTATATCCTAACCTTAGGCTGCAAATGTGTACTGATGTAGCATTAATAGGGTGAAACACAGGTCACAGAAAATTTAGGTGGTGTATTCCATCAATCAGTAGTATTGCACTTCATAAAGTTGGGAGACTCATGAGAGACAGATAAGAAGGTAAAGGAATCATCAAAATGGAAACAGAAGAGGATAAGATATTCTGACTTTTAGCCCAGATTATGAGCTACACCCCCAAAACCCTTGGTCTTACATATCCCATAATGCAATTCCATAGTGTCTTTAAGACCCCCTTTTATCCTCTAAATGCCCACTTCTTTCAAACATTCAGTTTTGTAATGCAGGCTTTCTATTCTATATAATCCATGACATGGGTTATCTTGACTTGGGTGATGATGACATCATCATCATACTTAAACTTTGGAAAGCCCCCTCCAGAGCCACATAAGACACCATACAACTGTTGTGACAGGCTGAGTGGAACTAACCATGACAAGTAAACTGAACCTCACATGTAAAATCATGGGGAGTGCCCCTTTAAGGCATCACATTTGTGTAACCATGGCAAAACTGAAATTTATAGTAAAAAAACAAATTCTACAGAGCTTGTCCACACTTCTCCCTTGGTCTTTTTCTTCATTGAACCGTCTCAATATGTGCCGCAGTTTTGCTGGAATTCTGAAATTCACAATGAAAGGGCAAACAATGTTTCTCATTTGTCCCACATTTAATTCCTCTTTTTGGCAGTCTGTCATGAATTAGAGGAGAAGTAACAAGTAAATTCTTTGGGACGAATTTCAGATATTCATTGTCTGTGTTGTGCGACTTTGCTCATACAGATTCTAGAATAATGGTGTGCTTGTGGTCCCAGTTTCCCTTTTTATTGTAACCATTGTTCCTAAGGATACAGAAATCACATTGTGAAACACAGTGCCGGCTGCAATTAGATATCTGAATGTGTTTTAGGACAAAATGTATTTATTTGAGTGTGATAGACACTGTCACTTTCTCATTACAGTTTGGCTTATCTGCACACAATGTATTTTAATATATTTTTATTTAATCCATCATCTGTTTTGAGTAATATTTTTGTCATATTGATTTATTTTTTGTATTTTTGTCTCTTTGAGGTATGTTTTAAAGAGGCCCTTGGGCCCTTTTTGAGCTACACTACTACAAACTGATGTTTTTGTGTGTGTGTTAGTGTGTTTTTCGTATCTTCCAGTTAAATAAAAACCGAAATAGATTTTACCTTCAAACCTTGTATATTCCTCTATCTGAGGGGTTTATAAACCCTATCAGTGTTGGTCTCTCCTGAACATTTGTGCCTTTGCTTTAAGTTCCATACATGGTTTTTGGTAACTCAGTTTTCTGCCTTTATAATTTATGCCCAGTTCACCTGGGTTAAACTTTACCCCTGCAGTAGATGGTGTATGATGTTGATAACTTTCCGCAACTCAAAGAGACATACTGACGTTGATGGATCCTTTAGGTAGTAACAACTGACATTACATGGTCAGAGTTAAAAGGCAGCATAAGAATAATGTTATCTGTGATCAGACTGTGAAAGTCTGTCAGACTTGAAGGACAGACGCAATCTGTTCTGCTATTTTTCTGTCCTTTTGTTTTTTTCATTTCCTGACCTATTTTTGTGTTTCTGCTTCTTTTATAGCAATACAATATCCCTGGATTAGTCACTCAAGAGCAGCCTGCCATTAACACTGACCAAGAATGATAATATCAGAAGTCACCATGGGTCAATACAAACAAAATTCAGTTCATAAGATCAACAATTAGAAACCTTTCTCTTTTTAATATGTT